ATAGGTGTTTTATCCTGTTTAGTTCTGATAACAAACTCCTAAAGAAGTTATTATTGTTATTATTGTCATTTTTAGTGACAAAAGGCTGAGGCATGACGAGACAGGTGTGGGCTAGTTAGAGGGTGACGTGGCACGCGTGATCCTCTGGCCTCTGAGCCGTCTTGCTGGAGGAACGGTGGGAGGGCAGGCTCCCATGGACACACTCATGGAATTTCAAATGGCTTGTTGAGAGTCTAGAGCAGAATGCCTCCCCTGTTCCCCACAGATGGCTCTTGGAAAATCTGCGCACATGTGGCTGGGAGGAAAATGCTACAGGCAGCAGATATGTTCCCAGCACCCTCGGATAACCCAGAGAAGGGCGCACCAGGTTCTCGGCAGCGACACTGCAGCTGGTCTGAGCCTCAGGGGCTGGGAGAAGCGGTGAAATGGGAGAGGAAGGCCTCGCCATGCAGGTGCTTGCACGATGGCCCCGGATTGCCCTCTGCCGCTCAGGCTGGCCTTTGGAAATAATTTCTCCCTCCTGTGTGGCAATTTAGCCCCCTTGGGGCTAGTCCTGACTTCTCGGCCCCACCTGTAACAGTGGCCTCTCTCTAGGCTGCACCAGCCTTTTCTCCACTCCTCCCACCAGGTGAGCACTGGGCTTAGAGGCAGGACATCTTAGAGTCAGGGTCATCTCACTGTTGGGATGTGCACCACCTTATTTATCCCTCAAGGATGTATATTTGGGTCATTTTCAATCTTCCCCTATTGTAAGTAATGCTTAAATAAATAGCTTCTACCTAAATCTTTGCTCATCTATGAGCTGTCTCTTAGATAAACTCCTGGGCATGGGATTTTGGGTCAAAGAATGTGCTTGCTGTGAAATGTAACAGATTTTGCCAAACTGCTATTAATAAAAGAGGTATGCACTTATGTCACCCCAAAGTTCACATCTTTTTTACGCCAACTGAGCCACCTTGTCCTGTGGATACTTCTCTCTTCTGGATCTCAGAATTGAAGATATCCTAACCTAGCCTCCTGGGGACACTGTGCAGTCCTCTTTCTGCTCCCTGCCGCTGCCACCTCTAACCCAAACTATCCTCACACCTGTGTAAGCCAAAGGGCTTTCTCCAGGCCATCTTACTTCATCCTATCTCGTGGGGCAGGAAGGAAAATGATCTCAGCTCCATCTGGGACTCGAGGGCCTGAGAGGTCAAGTGATTGGTCCAGGGTCCCCAGGTAGATGGAAAGCAGAGATGAGAAGCCAGTGTCCTGCCTTCTCACAGAGTACCTTTCCCAACACATCACCATTACCCAAAGATGCCAATGTAAGTCTGGGAAGGGCAGGATGAAAGAAGTTTTATCAGAAAGAAATTTAATGCCACCAACAGTTATTTAAAACACCTATTATGGGTGAGACACTGGGGTACAGAGATGGGACAAAACCCACTCCCTGACTCCTGAGAGCTCAGAGTCCAGTGGGGGAGTCAGGCCAACCCATGAGTCACGTCAGCACAAGGTATTTGAAGCCATACTGGGAGTGACACTGGGTGGGCCCTACTCAGCCCAGGGAGCTCAGGTTAAGGCTGAGAGGAGGCCACCCGTATGAGCTGAGTCCAGAAGGATGAGTGCGGGTTGGCCAGACTAAGGAAAGGCATTTCGGAAGAGTGAACAGGGTGCGCCTCCAAAGGTGGCCTCCCAAGGCGGTCTGTGAGCAGTTCAGTTTGGCCGGGGGAGGTGGACATCGATGGTTTGCCTGGCTGCACATCCATTCCCCCTTCTGGATATAATGGCTACACTTTCCTTTGGGGGGCCAGCCCAGGCCCATCTTTCTGGTTCCAGGGTGGACATGTGACTGCAGCTGACCAATGAGAACGTTGCTCAGGGGTAGGCAAAGGACCAGCAGGCCAATGACACACAACCTGGGGACTTGTACAGGAAGATGGGAGAGGAGGTCTCTTTCCAATGGGCGTGTTTCTACAGAGAAAAAGGCTGCCAGAGCAGGAAGCCAACCCACATGAAGGCGGAGCAGGGAACTGGGAGAGACGGAGACTGAAAGAGATGAGTTAGTCCCCGATCCAGCAAGGCCTGGAGGGTCTACCCTGGAACTTCAGTTGTGTGGGCCAATCAGCTCTGGTTTTTCACTTAAATCAGGTTGACTAGGATTTTGGTCACCTGTAACCAAGAATCCAGACTAATGCACTGGGATAGGAAGACAAGGGTGTCGGTGGAGAGACGAGCAGGGGCCAGCTCAGGGAGTTAGGTGTAGACCAGGCTATGTATGCAGTTAAAGATTTATCCAACCACCACAAGTGGGAATATTCTAATCACCAAGCAGAACTTTGACAGTGTGACTGCCTTTTGGGGAAAAAAGTCCCTGCTGGCTAAGAGAGGGGGAGACAGTGAGAAAGAGGCACAAAAAGGGTGAATGACTCTTCTAGAAATGTCAGAGCCTTTAGGACTTCTTTTCTGGGGTTTTCCCATCAGGATAGATGGTCTAGTCTGGAATTGGAGCCAAATTATTAATCCACCGGTGCTGATGGCACATATCAATTTGTCTTAATTTCTGAAAATACACTCAGCCTTTCAGACCAATCTCTTCTCTGTCATCGAGAAGGAAAGGGATCTCAGCAGAGATAAATCAGAGGGAATCTGGCCCTTCATAAATGCCCCGCTCTGGCTGGAATAGCACACCTGGCATTTCAGGGAGGCGTTGCCAGCACATGAACAAGCTCTCCCGTCCCCTCAGCGCCATGGCAGGCTGTCCACGGGGGCCGTGGGGACAGTGCACTGGCAGATGGGCTGTTATGGGCTCCGGGAACTCATGCGCTTAAAGCCAGGAGGGAGAAGGCCGAGGGAGGAAAGTCTCCCTTCCAGACCGGAGCCTCCTCATTACGCGTCTTCTTTCCCCTCGAGGGGAAGGACATAATTGGATCAAATGGAAGCAGGGGCCAGTCTCCTTCCCCCTCCCTGATGAGAGACTTCCAAAATGGCTTCATTACCGAGTCTTTTGTAAATAAACTGTGTGGAGGAAAATGCCATTTACGGTGCTATAACTGCCTGATGAGCATCGTTAGATGGGCCTTTAAAAAATGCACGTAATGAAATCATTTTGGGTTTAGGGATTCCTTTGGGCAAATCTTTTTCCATTCACTGTTCTCCACAAAGTGAGTCTCTGGAGGGGGACTCCTTGTCCAAGGAGGGTGGTTCTGGCCAGCGACATACTTGTTCTGAGTATTCAACCCACAAATACTTATTACGTGCCTTCCCTGTGTCAGAAAGTCCTCCCGGTACTTGGGATATAGCAGTAAGGGAAACACACATGGATCCTTACCCTAATGAAGTTTACATTCTGGTGAGAACTCAGAACACAGATGTGCCCATTTCTGGGTACAAACATGGCAGCGAACTTCATAAATCAATTTGTTTAACTGACGATCGAGGAACTGTGAGGTTAAAATTCTTCTGATTCCTGTGTGTGATTTCACTGTACCCATAAGGATGTGCCATTTGGAAAACTTGAGTGCATGGGCTAGGGACCTTAAATAAATACATATATGCCATCAGTCTCCAAACCTGCACCCACGGCAGACATCACTAATCAATCACCACTCTTTTCCTTATAAGCTTGGATGCATCCTCAGAACACATATCAACACATGACTGGGGCAGCTCCTACCAATGGATTAGAGTTAGCTGGGGGAGGAAACCTACTTGCTATTTCTGACTTAGACTGCTGTTAATTCACTTCACTGACAGGCTGCAGAATATTCCAGTAAATTAAGAATTTAACACCAGGAGGAGGCAAAGACTGAAAAGATAAGGTGAGAGATTGTAGCCAATTTCTCAGGCTAGTTTTCCTCTTAAGTGCTCCCCCCTCATTCCCTATAAAACATGGCAGGTCAGAGCATGGGCTTGGCTGTCAGGTGGACCTGGGTCCAGGTCCTGGTTCTGTTACTCCCAACTGTGTGGGACCTTGGTCGGAGCTCCACTGGTCTCCCTGTGCAATGGGCATAATGATACCACACTAATAGGGTTGGTGTGACGATTAAATATGCCAGTGTGTGAAGGGCTCAGCCCAGGGTCCTGTTGGCTGTGATCAGGGCTGAAACCCAGCTGTGGCGCATACAGTGGACACACAGCTGTTTACAGCTGGTCTCTGCTCACACTGGTTGGCGCTTGTGTCATCAGAGTTGTTAAATATTTTGAATATCACCCCTGGATATTAATTAGTTTTACTTAGATTAGAGGGCCAGTCCCCTTTCAGGAGACAACTTCAGAACTCTGGAGGTGAAACAGACACATCACCAAAATAATGTTTCAGTGGAATTCTAGGTGGTTGTTTTCTTGCTAATAAAGAATTTATGTTCCCCAGTTCTGAACTGCTCAACCAGTGCTGTACTGAACGGCAGTGATGATGACAATAATAAAAATAATCTTTTAAGATAATTACTGAGAAGCATCTAACAAGCATGCTCTCATTTAATCCTCTCAACGACCCTGTGAGGATCATTAAACCCATTCTTTGGAAGCAGAAACTGAAGCTCAGTGAGGCGAGGATTCCTTGTCCAGACCACACAGCTGGCAGGAAGTGGCAGAACTAGGATCTGACTTGGGCAATCTGACCGCAACACCGCATCCTTAACTGCTATGTGTGACAATGGTCCTTTCATTAAAAGTTGACACCTGACTCTAGAGTTGTGTATGCACAGGGCTTGGCCCGGTAACAGTGCTGCTGACCATCCCTCCATGAGCTGGGATACACCTCACCAGGGGTTGTGGGGATGTGAGAAGCAAGCCCTGGCTGACCACAAGGGCATGGGGTAGGCTAACCTCCCCCTCAGAGTTCACCTGAGATCAAAAGAGTCCCACAAAGAAAGGGAGAATGGGACTCCTTCACCTTATGAGCCCTGGGGCCTCCGTCTTTCCAGGCTCAGTCAAACACTAGGCAGGCAGCCTGCCAGGACAGGTGCCAAGGGCGCTGCGCCAAGGAGAAGGGGGCTCCCGGGGAGCTGGCTCACCTTGAATGAGATTTCATACTGCTCGCCTCCCCAGATCTCCAGGCCTGGGTCGTAGCCGCCCAGCTCCCAGAACCACTTCCGATTCACGGCGAACAGTCCACCGGCCATCACGGGAGACCTGTCAGGGAAGAAGAGTGTGGTGTGAAGACATGGACCGGACAGCCATGTGCACTGGGACACTGCTATTCCCCTGGGACAGTGTCACCTGATGCGCCGTGAACACAGCCCACGTGTCTAGCAGGGAATCCAAGGCCCTTCCGAGTGAGGGCCCAGGCTTTTTTCTTCCTTGCGTACACTTCCCTTCATAAACACTACACTTTAACCAAGTGGACCCAAAGATTCTTTACACGGTTAACACCAAAGAATATTTTTGAAATGAAATCACGGTACTTTCTCCTCATGGGCCTTGTAGCTGTATCATATATAGGGCGTCCCCCCAAAATGTATACACACACTTTGAATAATGATAAAGGCAGGGTTTACTAAAATACATTTCCTTTTCAAAATAGAGCTATCAGCTGTTAAAGTGTGTGTACATTCTTTTGAGACACCCTGTATCTCTCCAGTCCTTCCACTAGTTGAATGGTCCGAATCAGATCTTTCCAAGCCTGTCTCGGCTGTAGAATGTCTTAGAGATGAACAAACATACAGCTTCCTGGGCCCTACCCCAGACGTACAAAATCATCTCTGGGGGATGGAGCCTAGGAGCCTGTGTTTCAGACACGTCCCTTTGACGATTCCTAGTTTAGCACAGACATTTGTTCAGCTGAGGGCCAGTCTCCGGTCCTTCAGTTACACTGGGCTAAGATGAACTCCACTCGCTCATTCTCCTTAGTTTTTTCACCAAGTGCCAGCTGGGAAGCGGGTGAGAGGCATCTGGAGGTAAATCAGAGTTGGACGGGCACCAGGGGATGCCAGTGTGGCAGGGCAGCTACCTCGGGACAGAAGGGCCCAGAAAACGTGGGTGCAGTAAGGGCCTCCGGGAGTTACAGACAGCACTATAGGAGCACGGAAGGAGGGAGTGTCTGCGTCCAGGTTTGGGGGCGAGGGGGGAGGCTGGCGCAAGAGTCAAGGAAGGATGCTCAGAGGGGTAGCATTCGAGGTGGGTTTGGATAAGCAGGAACTCGGGGGAGGGAAAGGCACCAAGGAGAAAACAACAGGAGAAAAGGCACAGAGATAATAGATGTTGGGGTGCCATGGGGAGCAGGAAGTCAGCATGGCATCGTGCCAATGGGGTCACCTGCTGCGACCTGCCCCAGTCTTCCATGGCGCTCACTCAGGGCCAGCACCTGCAAGGGGCCACCAGTGTTTGCTGTGTGAGAATCTTTCAGAGTGGCCGTGTCCTAGTTCAGCTCCACTAGGAAAGTCCAAACCTTCAAGCCAAAAGAGCCTTCCAGCAGCAACCTCCACGTCCCCTCCTGGCCTCGGGAACTGCAAGCTTGTGGCGAGCGGACTGGTTTCAAAAGAACTTAGTCAGCCCACATGCATCCCAAGCTTCCTGTAGCGGACGAGTCCTGACAGCACAGGAGGGCACTCCTTTAAAAGGGGATCCCCTTGACTATTCACTGAGGGCCCGAACATCCCAGGTGCTATCCTGAACTATTTTATAATAAAACGACTTCACTCCTCACGTTGGCCCCATGAGGGAGGTCTCATCATCACTATCCCATTTTGCACATGTAGAAAGCAGGGTGCAGACAGGTAACTTGCTTAAGGTTTCACAGCTACTAAGCAGGATTTAAAACTCTAATCTATGCCAAAGCCCGCACCCTTCAAGGCCACAGTATACTGCCTCCTGCCAGGAAGGAGCGATCGAGAAGCAGGTGATGAGTGGAAAGGACGGGACCAGAAATGGGGAACCCTCACTGCAACCTCAGCTCTCCCTAACCTGCGGTGTGACCTGAGATGAAGGATTTAACCACTGAACCCCAGCTGTGCCGCTTGCTACGGAGGCCACGGCCACATGTGGCTACTCAGCACGTGAAATGTGGCTGGTCTGGATTGAGGTGTGCTGGAAGTGTAAGACACAAACCAGATTTCTAAGACTTAGTATGAAGAACGGAAAAGATCTCAATAATTTCAAAGTGTTGATTACATGCTAAAATGAGAATATTTTAGCTATACTGGGTTAGATAAAATACATTACCAAATGAATTTTACCTGCTTCTCTTTACTTTTACATGGCTACCAGGAAATTTAAAAGTATATATGCGGCCTGCAGCATATTTCCGCTGATGGTGCTGATTTAACCTCTGAGCCTGCTTCCTGTGTACATGACAGGCCTACAGCGACACTTCCTAGCTCACCTTGCTAGTATATTTCTGTAAGTATCCAGGGCTATGAGAAAATAAGGTGTCAGTGGTATCAACTCTCCTGTGTCTTCTGAAGGTTGTGGGGTTTGGGTTTTCAGGCTGGAGCCATAAGTATGCTGCTTGGAGGGGCAGAGTGTTTCTGACTCCGTGCTTCATGAGAAATCAAACCCAAGACTGCATGCAAAAATCAGCCTGGGTGAAAGCCAGGGGCAGGGGCCGAGAAGCTGCCTCATTAGGAGCTACCTCACAACAGGTAGGCTACTGGCCTTAAGGTGTGTGGATGCTCAAGGCTTTGACTCCAGAGGGAGGCCTCTCCTCTAGCCCAGTCTATTTTCTGCAATGATAACAACAGTTCTGAGTGTCTAGTATCTGCCGCTCACTTGACCGACATTATCTCCAGCTCTCACAAAGCCCTATCACTAGCCCCCTTTTCAGATGGAGGAATTTAAAATTCAGAAATGTTATATACTCTGCTCAGGGGCATGCAGTGAGTGGATGAGCTGCGAGTCACACCGGGGCCTGCCACCAAAGCCCGAGTTTTTCAAACATCATTACACCACGCTGGGCCTGCAGATTGCCATTCACTGGCACCGTGAGGAGGTGTGTAGAAAATGACCAGGGTTTCTCTTGTGGCCTCTCCCATGGGTTTTGTCTAAGCAATACAGAATAGAAACTTCTGGAAGGAATCAGAGGGTGCAAGGGAGGGAGAGCCCTTCAGGAAGCCTCTAGGCTCATGGCTCTCAAACTTGACTACATGCCAGTATCACCTGGGAGCTTCAAAAAACAATGATGCCCAGATCTCACCCCCAGACTCTGGTGTAACTGGTCTGGGGGAGTGATGTGAGTGGGTTTATGATTTTGTTTTTTAATAAACTCCCCACGTGATGACAACTGGCACCGAGCGTTGAAAGCCACTGCTCTGGGGCTGAGCCAACCCCTTCAATATCCAGCTGAGGAGACTGAGGCCCTGGAGGAAACTGGCTGGGCCTTTGCTACTAACCAGCTGCATAACCTGAAGTGAGGAGGAGGAACGGGCCAGGACCACCCTTATGCACCTTGCAAACCTTGAGGCTCTAACCATGAAGGGGGTTCCGGTTACCTTGAAAACTCCATTTGCTGGAGCCCCCCATTCCGACCTCAGCCTCTACTATGTGTCACCTTGGGCAGGTGTCGTTTCCTCTCTGACTTGGACCAGGAAGGGCTCTAACAGTAGTGTTGGACCATGCTGAGGACACAGGATCAGGAGAAGAACAAACGTCTGACCAGCAGAAGAGGCACAGGGCTCCGCTCATGCCCTCCCCTCGGCTCAGGCTGCTCCATCGCCTGGCCCCCTCCACTTCCTCGGGGAGCCCCTCTGCCCAGCTCTGGGCCTCCGCTGGGCCCACCGCATTGGGGGCTCCCTTCAGGAGCCCTGGGTACACACTGTGCCCATGAAGATGGCTGAGCTCGCTCACACTTACTCAAATGGGTCGCTGGGGTCCGCCTTCTGCAGTTCTGGAGGGATGGGGATCCGCTTATAGTACATCTCCCAGTCAAAGGCGCCCCGCATGGCATCCCCCGCCTGGGTCTCGTACCGGAAGTCGTCGTGGTCAATCACGTCGATCATCGGGCACACGATGGTCTTGCGGTTCCGAGCGATGCGGTCTGAAGAAACCAAGAGATGCCCATTAGGGAGGCAGGATGGGGGAGCAGCTAAGTGCACGACTCTGTTCTGCAGCTTATTTGCATTTTTAACATGTTCCCTGGGTGATTTCTCTGAACATCTGCACGTGAGAATCCTGGAAAGGAAGGGAGGGCGCAGGCTTTAAGCAAGATGGACCGGGGCTCCCATCCCAGTCCTGACACCCAAGACAGGGGCCCAGGGCCAGCTACATAACTACCATCCCCACGCCCAGCATTCTCGGGGGTGCCGGTGAACTGCTGGGGCAGGCGATCTGCCACGAGGGGCAAGTGGGCTGTGCTGGGGTGCCTGGCGGCTTTGGGCCAGGAGTTAAGTTCAAGACTTGGCTTGGGGAGCCTGGTAGGGTCAGAGGAGGCGAGTAGCTGCCACTTGGGATGTGTTTACTTAGCCCCCGCCCCCCAGGCCCACTGATTCAGGATCCCTGAGGGTGGGGATGGATCAACCTTGTGACAGGCTCCCTGGGGATTCTAATGCAGCAGGACCTTCTCCAGGGAAAGAGCTAGACAGAGAAGGGCCTCCTTCCTAACTATTCATGGCCATTCAGGGGATCTCACTTCTGGGCAGGGCTTGAGCTGAGGACACAGTGCTCTGCTGGATGCTGGGTGAGGGTGAGAGGTATGAGGTCAAGGGGTTGCATCAGAGCAGCAGCGTTCAGTGCTGGGCTCATTCGGTAACAGAATGCCCAGGTTCGAATCCTGCCTTTGTCTCCCGCTAGCAGGGTAACCTTGGGAAAGGTTGTCAGATGCCTCTCCCTCTCAGTTTCCTTCCTGACAAAATGGAGGAAGACAGCACCTATCCTGTGGGGTCTCTGAAGACTGAGTGGGACAACCGGGGTCAAGATACTTGGCACGTGATCAGCACTCCCGACACTGTCTGTGACCAGGGTTGCTGAAAGCAGCTCAGAAGCAGGCGTTGGAAGACTGAGCATCTCCCTCATTCTCTTTGGCCCTTGGTTTTCTCATTTGCAAGATGTGGGTAATAATGCCTGGCCTGCCTGTTCCACCACAGAACCATCAAATTCAAATGGGGCTGTGGCCTAGAAAGCTAGGAGACTAGCAGAGCCAGGATCATGATGATGATGATGATGATGATGGAGGAAATGATCAACAGTGGTTTTTCTTTGGGGGGCTGAATCCTTCTTACTCAGAAATGCTTGCTCTCCAAAGACGGCAGAATGAGCTGTGCAGAGAGGTGTAAATGGTTTCAGAGACAAAAGCCATAATGTGCTCTGTCTGCTGATCATATTAGCAGGGCAGACTTTTAAATCTACACCACTGGTTCACATTTCTATTGCAAAAAGAAAAAATAGAGGGGGAATGCTTCTTCCGTGTATGTCTGCAGATTATGAAAATTACCCTCATATATTTCCATAGAAACAGAGTTAAGGGCTATTTAGACAACCAGCTCGGCTTTCTGCCCCACCACTCCATTCTCTTTATGAGTCACTGAATGACCCAACAAATGGGCTGTTCCTTCAGGACTATAAATTAGGCGACTGATGGTGAGGCTTTTCTCTTTTTTGTTCTTTCTGTAATGAGAGGCAGATGTAGACCTTTTGGCTTAATTAAATCAACAGTTTACCAGAAAATCTGGGGGATATCCTTTCCTAACCCCTTGGGGCCCTGGACCCTTGGGGTCAAAAGAACCTAATCGAATACTAGAGTTGCATGCTGATCTGTGTTGGAACACAGCTTGCTGGGCTGTCCCATTTAACTGCGTGGATTTTGTTTTCTGTCCTCACTCTGAATGGTGGCCTAGCCGGTGCTCCTCAAAGTGTGGGCCCTGGACCAGCAGGACTGGTATTTCCTGGGGGCTGATTTGAAATGCAGCTTCTCAGGCCCCACCCAGGACCTCCTGAATCGGAAACTCTGGGGAGGGGCTAGCACTCTATTTTAACAAGTCTTCCAGGTGATTCTGATGCTTGCTCAAGTTCGCCCTAAACTTCAGTCCTCCTTGCTCCCTAAGCTTTCTGTTATGGAGAACATACCCACCACTTCTGAGGGGCTCACTTTTCTCTCTGAATTGGTAACTCTTCCTCTACTGCCGTCCCTAGCCTGACTCCCAGTCTCAATGGGACATTTCCTCTTCAATGTCAAACTGTCAGCACCAGCTCACTGCCTTTATCAAAGCTGAACTTCTCAGACAGACTTTGGAGTCAGACAGATGGTGACTTTGACACTTATGGCCCAAGGGAATAAGTGAGTCATTCAATATCCCTGAGCTTCAGTTTCTTCTACTATAAAAAAGGGATACTTTTGACCTGGCATAGTTTTATAAGAATTAGAGATAATGCTTGCAACCTTCCTGCTTCACAGTAGCATTGCAGTGAACAGTAACTATTCTAAGTTGATATGATGATGCCCCCCATAGTTTGGCTCTTAACTGTAGACAACGATGGCTTGCTTTCTAAGAAAACTTTAAGTAATCTGGAGGAGCAATCATATCACTAGAAACGAATGTGCTGTATGACTTTGGGCAAGTCACTTCCCTTCTCTCTGAGTCTCAGCTTCCTTCTCTGTAAAATAAAAAGACGGAACTGGAGGGCTTGTTAAGGTCTCTTTGAGAACTCCTGAACTTCCAAACCCCTCCTGGCACCTGGCATTGTGCGGGGTGCTCTCAAGCAGGCAGGGGAGCCCTAGTGGATGACTCTGTGCAGAAGGCTGGCTCATTCCAAGTTGCCTACCTTGTCTTGGGAGGGTTCCTTACCGAGCAAGGGGGGGAGCCAATTGACATTGGCTTCACAGTGTGAGTCCAAGAATGTGATGACATCCCCAACTGCTGCTGAGGCCCCCAGCATCCGGGTCCTTATCAGCCCTTCCCGCTTCTTGGTTCGGAGAATCCTCACGCTGGGGAAATGGGCCATGTAGTCTTCAAGTGGCTTCTTCAGGTGCTCTGTGAGGGAGACAGAAGAGGACAGATGGATGATGGGTAAGAAGAACTGCTTAGTAATCATTCTTGTGACTTCTCCCTCACATGTGCACTGCACTTTACAGTTTAGACACAGCTTTCCAGTACTCTGCCTCATTGCACCTCTCAGATAGGGCCAAGAAGGGCAGGGACCACCATCTGCATGCTGCAAATGGGGACACAAGCTCAAAGAGGTCCAGTGACAGCTCCAGACCTGGAGCACAGAGGGATCTTCTGTGAGTAGCTGTGGTTCATGCCTGGCTGGGATCAATTTCCTCATTTTCTGGTAACAATACTCTGATTTTACTTTGGGAAACTGCCCCTCCCCTTCTCAGTCCATCAGATTTGGGTGGGGCTGGCTCCATCCCCTGGTTCCAAGGGGCAGAGCAGGCAGCTTGAGCCTGACCAGTGAGGGCATCATCCCATTCCCCTGGCCTCAGTGATCGGTCCAGGGATGGCTATGTGACCTGATTTGTCCACATAATGAATACTTTCTTTTTGCTAGTTAGTTATTTGGTTGGTTGGCCATAAGTCTAGAGCTGCTGGTGACATCTTTGCCAAATGAGGTGATAAGAGGTGGTGGGAGGATCTGCTGGGCCTGAAGCCAGTGTGTAAGAAGAGAGTCAAGAGATGGAGAGAGACATTATTCTGAGGACATTTTGATTCTTCAGATCCCCCTGTGCCTGACGCAGATAGATTTCTGGATGTTCTTATTGCACGTGAGAACAAATTCCTCTTTATGCTTATTCTAATGTCAGTTGCATTTTTGTCCCATGTGTGGAAACGTTGTTTTGAATAAATCTGAAAAATGGTCTCTTTCCACTAAATGCTGGCATTCTCTTAATTTCAGGGTTTGGGCCCTTTGTGAAAACTCTAGCATGACTACAAAAAACCCTAGTGTTTACATCATATTTAATGATGTATGCTTTCTCATCACTTCTACTCAATATTGTGCAGTGCTACAATAGCTAGTTACCTAGCTAGTGCAACTGGTAAGACAAAGAAATAAAAGGCATAAATATTGGAAAGAAAAAGTAGTAACGTCTTTAATTGTAGATGGCATGATTGTTTACATAAAAAATCCTAAGAAATCTACAAAGTAGAACTAATAGGTAAACTTAACATGATTTCAGGATACAGGTCAACATTTTCAAATCAATTCTATTTCTATTTACTAGCAAATACAAAACAATTGGAAAATGCAATTTAAAAGGGTAAAAATACAATTTATACTTTAACAAAAGTACAAATTTGTATACTTTGAAAACTACCAAACGTTGTTGAAAGGAATTAAAGACCAAAATAAATGGAGACAGATAGTTCATGTTCTTGGATTGGATGACTTAATATTAAGACAGTAATAATACCTCCCATATTGATCTTCAGCTTCAACGTGATTAAAATCACAGCTGATTTCTTTGCAGAAATTGACAATGGGCAGCTGATCCTAAAATTTATGGAAATGCAAGGGACAAAGGGATCCAGAATAGCTAAAACAACCTTTTGATTATTTATACATGAATGTTTATAGCAACACTATTCACAACAGCCAGGTGGTGGAAATAACCCAAGTTTCCAATGCTTTATGAATGTATCGACAAATAAAGAATATATCCAAACAATGGACTATTACTCTGCCATAAAAATGGATCAAAAACTGATACATGCTACACCATTGATGAATCTCAAAAATATTATACTAAGTAAAAGAAGCCAAGCATAAAAGGTCACATACTGTATAATTCCACTTGTATGATGTTCCAGAATAGGTAATCCACAGACACAGAAGGCAGATCAGTGATTACCAGGGGCCAGGGTCGGGGGAATGGGGAGTGACTAAATGGGTATGGGGTCTCCTTTGAGGATGATAAAAGTATTTTGGAACTAGATAGAGGTGAGGGTTGCACAACATCGTGAATGTACTAAGTTCTAATTAATCGTACACGAGAATATGGTTAATTTTATGTGAATTTTACTTCAATGAAAAAAAAGTGGATAAAGAATATAAATAGGTACTTCTCCAAAGAAGATAGACAACTGGCCAATAAGCACGTGAAAAGATGCTCACCATTATTAATCATCAGGGAAATGCAAACGGAAACCACAATGGGACACTGTCCTACTTTACATCCACTAGGACTGATATAATCGGAAAGTCAGATAATAACAGGAGTTGACACTCTTCATACACTGTTGGTGGGAATGTAAAATGGTGCAGCCACTTAGGAAAACAGTCTGGCAGTTCCTCAAACTTAAACACAGTTGTAACACACTCCTAGGTATACACCTAAAAGGAATGGAAACATATTTCCACACAAAAACATGTACACTCATGTTCATAGCAGCAAATTCATAAGAGCCCAAAACTGAAAACCATCCAAATGTCCATCAAATTATGAATGGAAAACAAAATGTAGAATAGCCACATAATAGAATACTATTCAGCAATAAAAAAGGAACAAGCTATTGCAATAATATGAAATGAGCCTTAAAAACATTATGCTAGGTCAAAGAAATCAGACATATAAGACTAGATAGTACATGATTCTATTTACGTGAAATTTCTAGAAACGTAAAACTACAAAGACAGAAAGGAAATCCGTGGTTGCCTGAAGCTGGGTTGGAGTGGGGATTGATTGCAAACAGGCATAGGAGAACGTTTTGGAGTGATGGAAATGTTCTAAAAATGATTTACAGTGATAGTTTCACAACTGTATAAATTCACTAAAAACAACAACACTGAACTACAGAGTTAAAATGGGTGATTTTTATCGTATGTAAATTATACCTCCAGAAGGCAGTTAAATTCTAAAAAAAAGAAAGAAAAAGAAATCAATTGTATTCCTATATACTGGCAAAACACAATTGGAGAGTACGACAAAAATAGCATTTGTAATAGTCTCATATATAAAGACCCAAATAAATGGAGAGATAAATAATATTTATAGATTGGAAGACTCCATATTAACAGCCAGTTCTCAGCCCAGAAATAAACCCATACATTTATGGTCAATTAATATTTGACAAAGGAGGCAAAAACATACAATGGTGTAAAGAAAGTCTATTCAGTAAATGGTGTTGGGAAAATTGAACCAATACGTACAAAACAAGAGAAACTAGACCACCTTCTTACACCATACAAAAAAATAAACTCAAAATGGATTACAGCCTTAAATGTTAGACTTGAAACCATAAAAATCCTAGAAGAAAACATAGGCAGTAAAATCTCGGACATTTCTTGTAGCAATATTTTTTCTGATATATTGCCTCAGGCAAGGGAAACAAGAAAAAATAAACTAATAGGGCTATATCAAACTAAAAAGTTTTTGCACAGCAAAGGAAACCATCAAGAAAACAAAAAGATAGCCCACTGAATGGGAGACCACATTTGCCAATGATACATCTGATAAGGGGCTAATATCCAGTTTATAAAGAACGTATATAACTCAACATCAAAAAATCACACAATCCAATTAAAAAAAGGGTGAAGGACCTAAACAGACACATCTCCAAAGAGGACATACAGATGGCCAATAGACATATGAAAAGATGCTCAATGTCACTAATCATCAGAGATGCAAATTAAAAGCACAATGAGGTGTCACCTCACACCTGCCAAAATGTCACTATCAGTAAATCCACAAACAAGCGCTGGCGAGGGTGTGGAGGAAAGGGGGCCCTCGCACACTGTGGGGGAATGCAGACTGGGGCAGCCACTGCGGAAAGCAGTATGGCGTTTCCTCAAAAAATTAAAAAGGGAACTGCCTTATGACCTAGAAATTCCATTTCTGGGAATATATCTGAAGAAACCGGAAACACTAATTTGAAAAAATATATGCACTCCTATGTTTATAGTAGTGTTATTTACAATAGCCAAGATTCAGATGCAGCCCAAGTGCCTACCAGTAGATAAGTGGATAAAAAAGCTTTGGTACAGCCCTGGCCCGGTGGCTCAGCTGGCTGGAGCACCGTCCTTTACACCAAAATGGTTCTGGGTTCGATTCCCGGCCAGGCACCTACTTAGGAGAAAACCCACTGACGTTTCTCTCTCACACCAATGTTCATTCGTTCGTTTGTTCTTCTTGCTCTCTCCCCCTTCCTCTCTAAAATCAATAAACATACTCTTGGTGAGAAGTAAAAAAAAAAAAAAAAAGAGAGAGAAAGGGAGCATGCGGGCCTTTCTGGGGTGAGGCATTCTATATCTTGACTGGGGTGCTGGTTTCCCAGCTGTAAACATTTGCCAAACCTCATGGAATTGTGTACTTAAGATATCTGTACATTTTTTCACCATTTGTAACTTTTAGTTCAATTAAAAAAAATTGGTCAAAGCACACATTGTGCTAGTTGGGGAAGTTGGAGTGTAGTGAAGTGTCACTGACTGGGGCCAGGAAAATTGGTCTATGTTCGCGTCTGGCCCAGTGAGACCATCCCTTATTTCCTCTAGGTCTCAGTGCCATCTCTGTAATCAGAGTTTGGACCAGAAGGTCCTCAATGGCCCTGGGCCCAGGCCTCGCAGAACTCCTGCCTTCCCTAACCAAAGCCCAAATCCTCTGAATTTGTTCCATCAGGGGTTACACAGGAAGGGCCCTCCTAAATCGGGGGGGGTGTCCAAATCACCTGGTGAGCTGCTGTAAATGAAGCTGCCAGGCATCAACCAGGCGGTGATTTGGTAGACCGAGGGTAGCACCCAGCAGCTTTGGTTTTACTTGACCACAATCAGGGAATTGTGATGCACAGCCAGCCTGGAACCCCCTGGGGTAGTTCAGTTTCTTCATTTTATAGACAGAAAGCTGTGGTCCAGAGAAGGGAAGGGCCTGCCTCTGGCACAGTTAGCAGTAGAGCTGTGCTTCACGCCAGGAGCCCCGGGCTGCTTGGTCCAGAACCTACTGAACCTTTTGTTTTTCTAACCCAGTAAAGCAATGAATCACTTCACTGGTAAGGAAGGTTATGATTGGCAAAGCAGCTTCACATATTTTATCTCCCTT